GAGTTCGTCACTCAATCTAGTAAAGGGTCGTCCTCCACTGCGTTTGCCCGTACGGGTTCGCCACTCAAGAACCTTACTTGCCCATCGGGTGTCGCTTCTTCGAGTTATATGACTAGCTAATTGCCATATGGCCAGCAAATTCGATGTACGTGAATACAATTATAATAAGCTTACTCCTGCTACAGTAGAGTGCTGAAATTATTTTAAACATTTTTTAAATAATCCAATAAATGATATAATGCGGATTGTAACATTTTGCAACGCTTATTTTGATACAAATACACGTGTATCTGTATTGGCGGCCGCAAGACATGGGTGGATAAAATAAAAGGCTCATAAAAATGTATGAGACGCCACCGAGCGCTGAGCTAACAAGAGATATACCTTATTTCAGTTTATTCTAGCGAGGGTCAGATGCTAGTTATTCCGCGCCAATGGTAATTGTGACGGATGGACATTTCCACTATATTTACAAAGTAAAACCAGCTCTAGGTATGAAGTAGTAATTTTAATATACATATACATATTACATACATACATATTAAATAATAATGATTGAAATAGACACACACACACACACACACACACAATTAATTTTATACTTATATTTACATTAATTTTGTTCTCGGCTGGCTTTTGCCCACGACAGAATATCAAAATTTTACTCATTTAAAGGCAAAGCAATGAACTGAGTTGTGACCATTTTGTGTAACTGTGGCACACAGATATATCCTTTTTCAATACAAAATGAAAAATTATGTTACTTATTTTATGTACTTTTCTTTTTTTTGGATATATATATATATATATTTGTATTTCTTTTTTTTGCGAATACTTGTATATTTTTTGTTATTTGTGTGCTGTAAGTAATGCAAATAAATTATATCTATCACATATGCGAATGTGAAAATAGGTTTTTTTATGGGTGATAATGAAATAGTAACCCCGCCCGCGCTATCGGTATACACCGGCAGGGCACCAGTGAAGGGTGATAGGTGAGGATGAAGCAGGTCAGTTAGCCCATCGTGACGAATTCAACAAGAATTGTTCACGATGGTTATCCAGGGGGCACCACGTGGAGAGGTTGACCTGATGTTGCTAGCAATGGGACTGTCAAACTCCATTGCTAACAATCTCTTTCCACCCCAGTGAAAATAAATTATAGTGTAAGGATTAAACGCCATTCAAACGTATCTGTTGATAGAATAATTATTAGCAGTGAATTGTGGTCCCTACATAGAATGGGTCACCGATTCCTTTCCCGTGGTTGTCGTAAGAGGCCAAATAGAGAACTTAATGGTCAAGGGATGGGCAGCAGCGTCCCTCTTAAAACATCACAAAAGCCTAACTGCGATTGCCAACCTATCCGTCAAGCGTAATAATACCAGAGGGAGACTTTGTACAAAAGTCGATTGCTTGGGTACCTCTGTCCCATTCGTATTTCAACCGTGAAGCAGTTGCGTTTGCATGGCTGTGTTTCGGTTTGAAGGGTGGGATATGGCTTGAATTTACTAGGTACAGAGGAATAACACCTGAGTCCTCAGGAATGGCAACGCATGGGGGCTATCATGGGTGAAACAGTATACTCTGTTATGTCCATGATACTGATCATGTCTATAGGCGACGGTTACCACTTTCCATCAGGTGGGCCGTCGGCTTGTTTGTCATTCTAAACTGTATAAAAAAAAGTCAGTGGATGCAGGTGGCTCAGGACCGTTCTTTATGACAGTCTATGGGGAAGGCTTATGTCCAGCAGTGGACAGATAATGGCTGAAATAATGATGATGATGATTAAATGAGATAGAAAGAGATAACAACGTCCGCTGTCTTGTTCTTTATTAATGGAAGCGCAGACTGAATAATTTCATTGATAGATTCGTTTGATTCTTGCGTTATCGTGAGAGAGACCGGTTTAAAACGTTAAGCAAGCGTTATGAAAGTAGATGAATTAGATACTAAGTGGCCTTTTTAGGAAATGAGAATGGAACGGTTACTTAGTCTGCGCTATCGGTATATGCTGGCGTGGTACATATGTGTATGTGTATAGGTGTGGTGAAGTCAGGTATATTGGCCTATCGTGATAAATTCACCAGAAATCGATGGTTTGTAGAGTACACTAGGTGACTAGGTCTATGATCCATGTTTGTAATTAGTTAAAAATCATAGACATCAATATGGAGAAAAAATATTTTACATTCGAGTAAAAAGCTAAATTCGCATCTGGCAACCCTGACCATAGATTAAGACTTAAGATTATATAATAGATCTTATAGCATTGAGTGAACAAAATGTGTCTACAATTAGTCAGCTAATTTGATATTTGTTTCGGTTTTGGACAAATATTTTTTAAAATACCCTCAATTTTTAATGATTCAAGCACAGTCTATTACTCAAGGAAAGTAGATAATGGTAACAAAAAGTATATAACCAAGAGATAAGAGGACGCACTTCATACAAACCACCTAAACCGACTTGGTTAGAAATATCTTACCATTCTACACAAAACAACATCCTTTTCTCGTTATGTTGGCTAGCCTGATGTTCAAAATGGAAATGAATAGGGTTATAATTATATTATATATAAATAATAAAAACTCTAACCATGTGACAAAAGAAATATATAACTTTTATGTCAAATTGCATATTCCGCTGAACTTTTTTTTTTGCAAAAATAAAACAAAATATAACATTCTTAAATATATTTATTATCTTTTACAGTATTGCCTTCAAATCTCAATTTCATAATATTATTATTGATAATTGAATATTATTGATGGTAAACACAAGTTTTCAAAATTTCCCGTAATATCTGGTCAGTTTCTAGAGTAGACCTCGTAGTAGATTCAATATTAATTAGTATTAGTAGTAGTCGTAATTCCCACGTCAAAATAAATAGAAATATGAAATACAAAGCTAAAACTGTACCACAAATAATTTAAATGACAGCCATTTGCATCATATTCATCAATATTCTTGTTAGTTAATTTGGCGCTATTGTGATTTCCTCATTTAACTAAACGTTGGCATGATATTTTCTGACCAAATCCGTGCATTAAAATCTTCTATGGAAGTTACACAAGGCTGAATGGCAAAATAGAACTAAATAGTATTTCATCATAGTTATTTAAGTTCCTAAATCGCTCAGCAGAGGCAGCACCTTCGTTCTCTCGCTATTCGCTTATAAACAAAAATAATTGTGTAATTTTTAACTATCGTAAATTGTTTACGTAATATGTAAGCACCCCCACGTACTTACTAATATAGTCTTCCTAAAAATAGAAAGTAGCAACTATTATTTTTCTAAGAAATAAACTATAAAATGTATAGATTTTGTATAGTCTATAGTTTTTGCCTGTTGTTTATGTTAAGAAAATACCACTACGTCACGCATAGTGTGGCATGGACTATAGAGGTGTGATGCAGTAGTAATGCATGACACAGTAAATATATATTAAAGATATTTTGTTAAAATGTCTGCCTATTAACATTCGATTATTATAAATAAATATTATGTAAAGAATGAGCAACTGAATAATGAAAATAACAGAAAGTCAGTGTTTATGATTTGATTTCATTTAATCATCTCCGTGCCGCAATAGTGGCATGCTGCTTTGTGTAAATATGGTCGATTGTAACTCGATTTCGACAGGTTTGTATATCCTGGGTTGTAACCCCAGATGATACTGTTATAGTACTATTGCTAGCGATATACCCTAATTGGTTGAAATCCTTCCTCTTGAAAACCATCGTTGTTAATGTCATGGAATTGGGGGGGGGGAAGGGTATTGTTAGTAATGGAGACTGAGAATCCCATTGCTAGCAATATACCCAAGCAGGTCGACCTCCTCGCGGTTCCTCCTGGAAACTATCATGGTTAATTCCTGATGAATTCATCATGATGGGCTAACTGGCCTGTTTTCATTCTTATCGATCACCCTTCACTGGTGCTCCGCCAGCGTATCCCGTTAGCGCAGGCGTGACTACCATACCCATAAAAAAAAAAAACTCAGTGAATTCATTATGATCGCTACTGTTATTCTAGCAGCGTTAGCTAGCAGCGCAAACGCAGTTATTATTCTATTTCCATCTTTATTTATTGACAAATAAGTACGTATTAGTAATATGGTTAGGTACTAGTTGCTAAATGTAACTCGAAGTTTTATCCACCAGAATTAATTTAAAAAGTCACTATAGTCGTTAGTCTATGATTCAGGGATAAAAAGTAGCTACATATATCCTTCTCCATCCCAAATACTATGTGTACATTAAAGTATTATATTTCTCTTTTATTTAAATTTTACGGCACCAAGAAGTAAACAAACAAACTCACTCTCACATTTATAATTTAAGTAAAAATTAAGATCACAATTGTTATCAATTACATATTTTAACAGTTAGATATTTAAAGATTTTCCATATCAAACCAAGTGACTGCGTCATTTGATAGAGTCAGCCCATAGACTAAACAGTTTATCTAAAGGTTTACATACATGTACAGATTGTGCTTACAATCTATATACATTTGTATGTATCTATATCTTATCTGATTTTGTGTAGAAAAATGTCCACCAAAATATATTTTATACATAGTATAATAAAATATTGAACAAATATATACTTAGTCATTGGTGGCCAGTCGTCGTGACATCTACAAAGAAAAAAAAAACATATTTTTTTTAATATACGTTTAAACTGATATAAGTGCCTACTTTATACGTTATTGACATGTATCATAAATTTATAACATTCTAAATTATTAGAAAAGGGAGGCGTCAATGAATTAGGGGTACTATAGGCGTCACAATATATTCTGTAATATAAAATGTTATTCATGTCTTTTGGCAATGGTTACCAGTTTCTATTAGGTGCATTGTCAATTTATCTGTTACTCTAATTACTAGTTACTAGATAAAAATACATTATTTAAAATTTTTTTTTTAGTGAAATGTATAATTTATCGCTCCAACTGATCCAAGCGACAAATCGTCCCGTGTATGGATAGTAATCAAGTAAAGACGTTTTCGTTGTTCTGATTGTTCATTGTTTTTAGTTTGTTTGAGCCCTTTGTGTTGATAACTGTAACAATAAAACGTTGTTTTATATCTAGTTTAATAAAAATAGAGTATATAACTGATATTACTGGTCCTATAATCTTATTTTAAAGAAATATACTTTATCAATTGTTTTGTGATTATATTATACTTCGTGTGAGTTTTACAGAGAGAGTAACAATGTGAGTACCTACCTATATTCTTATACACAAGTAGTCTGTGTCAATATTTTTCAATCTGGGGGAAAGGGATTGTTAGCAATGGAGTTTGATAGCCCCATTGCTAGCAATATGCTTTATTAGGTCGACCTCCACGTGGTCATTCGTCACGATGGGCTAACTGACCTGCTTCATCCTCACCTATCATCCCTCATTGGTGCCCCGCCAGTGTATACCGATAGCACAAGCGGGGTTACCATTTCTCTATCACCCATTTTAAAAAATATATATCATATGACTGATGGCTATGTACCTACTTAAAGCAGCGTTTAAAGATTTTGTAGAAAATTAACCGAATATTTTCTTCGGTTCCAATAAATTGTTTGTGTTTATTACTCGTATTCCCAAGTCTTGCCGAGCTTATCTTATCGACCTTAGATAAAATGACAAAGAGAATTAGTGTTTAAAATTTTTTTTTTCCAATGAAAAACGTTTTTTTTTTTTAAAGAATAAAAATGGAATGGTGATTTTGCATTGGTTTGTGCATTATTTCTATTCTTTGTGCGTATCCTGTATAGGACTCGGCGTGAAGATATACCTACTACCCTACATACGCTAAACCGGCGTAATAGACTTTTTCGAAAATATATCTATTTTCTACGGATCCGTGATTTATGGATCTTTACCTGAAAAGCATCGTGGTTAATTCCTGGTGATGATAAATCAAGTGATTGCCTATTTTCCTCGCCTATCATCATTTACTGGTGCCCCGCCAGTGTATACTGATAACGAAGACGGTTACCATTCCATTTTTGTCCATTAAAACGATCTGCTATCTTTTTTTTTTTCAGGACATCACCTGTAACAAAATTTAAGTTCACCCAACAGCAACAAACTCCTGTATTTATCGGCTCAGAATTTTACAATGTATACAAAAGTTCTGAATTTTTGCAAAGCAGCCACAACATCGATCGCATTCTCCATCAAGGTTACGAATTGAGAAAATTACTGAAAAATAAAAAACCAGGCGAAATAGTAGAAGTGGTTGGGATGTGGCTGGCACCTAAGTTTGTTTTTATTTTTTCATTTGTCCAAGTTTAATTCTTTCCCAGGTAGTTTATAGTAGTACCTTAAAATTACGTCTTTGGTCTCATACTTTAATGACGTAATTTTATGGACTGTGGATACTGGCTGTATCCATCCAAATATATAATATATTATATATTTGGATATAATAAATATATAAAATATTACTGCACCGCACTGCAATCCAAATGTTATAATTTTTTTTGTTTTATTGTTTAGAGATAACCAACGAAAAAAGTATTTATTTAGATAATAATTTTCATTAACATTTCATGTTAGATATATAAATCGAGCTTGTAGTCATTCCATGAGATAAATGACAATTAAAATAGGTATTAAAAAAAACCACATACGTTATGGAATAAAAAAAATAAAGTTGTCAACTGGCTGACGTCTTTTTTATACTTTTTTTTATATTCAAATAAATAACAAACGACTTATGTAAAAAAAAAAATAACAAGATTAATATAGATGTAAAAGAGCTATTTTGCTATTTTGAAAACGTAACGCTGTTTACATCGGCAAGTGTTGGTAGAGAAATATTCTATCTAGTCTAGATGATATTGACTTGTAACTTCTTCGTAGTTCGAACTGAACAACATTTAGTATTTTTTTATACCACTGAGGTGGCAAACAAGTATACGGCCCACCTGATGGTAAGTGGTTACTGTAGCCTAGTATTCGTACAGTTAGACCAGACAGACTAATATTTATTTGCGACGTTCTTTCATTGCCTTGACTGGAATAATGTTTGTTTAGAATACAAAGTCATAACATGAACTCATTTTTACATTTATAATATTGTCTAACATTTTCCTAAACATTGACCGGGATCAAATACTGTATAGCATTATAAGTCCGTCTTTAATACAATACTAGTCCTTACGGCTTCTTCAGCGTGAGATTAAGCTCGATTAGGTTAAAAACTAGCCTATGTTCTACTTAAAATGAAATTTGGTACTTCAATTCAAACGTACACATTTGGGATGAAGTACCAAATTTCAAAACTATTGGTTGAACCGTTATGGCGCCAAGAGGTAACAAACAAACGAATTTATAATATCAGCAAGGATATTTTAATAATAATAATAATAAACTCTTTATTGCGCACAGTAGAGATGTATAACAAACAAGATCACAGAGTATTTATACAGAAACGCAGACAGTTGAGGTTGCTTTGCAACATTTTCTCTCTTCTTATTAGCATATACAAAAGAATGCGCTACCCATGGACATAAGACAAATTATTTTTAAGAGAAAAGTCTACGAATATCTCTATCGTTGTTTATTTGTGTTATCGTATATAATCTAAAAGCATGTATCTCTTACAGACAATATTTTTTTTGTAATGGGATTAATAAAAAATAAATAAATATTTTGTAATGTGACTAATAAAAAATAAATAAATAACATAATAAATAGTACTTTAGGCGTGGTACCTACAACATCTGGTACCTACACTTCTTTATTTATTTAGCTTATTATTACACGTAATATATAAAAATATACAATGACAATTAGAAATTAACCTTCAGTAGGATTTAATGGTCGAGGGATGGACAGCAGCGTCCCTATTAAAACGTCACCAAAGTCACACGTAACTGCGAATACCAACCCAAGCGTGGTAAATACTGGCAAAACCCTCCCCAAGGGGCAGGCTTATGTATAGCAGTGGACAGTAAATGGCTGATATGATGATGATGATGATGCAGTAAGATACAGAGTAGGTACAGATAAAATATAGAAATAAAAAGGTAAGCACTAGAAATGGTAATGTCCGATATATATATATTGAGGTCTTCTGGACATTAATAACCACCGATTGCAATATCGCCCATACAAGTCAGATATATCACTATATAATATATAACAAAGTCACTGTCGCTGTCTGTCCGTCCCTATGTGTGCTTAAATCTTTAAAACTACGCAACGGATTTCGAAGCGGTTTTTTTTTAATAGATAGAGTGATTCAACAGGAAGGTTTATATGTATAATACATGCATAATATTGTAGAGAAACACTGATAAATTTAGAGGTTTCTAATTTGTTGTCGTAAATAAACACATTTTTTGAGTTTACACTGGCCAAACCCCACGAGATAAATCAAAATAATGTACTACAATATTGTACACCTTAAAAAGGTCAATAAAAAAGTCCGCGATGGTATGTCTATCTCTTATAGATAACCCACAATAACCATTTTTTTATCCTTTACATTTTACGAGAAAAAATGGCTTATTTACAAAGTGATTTTAAGCAATACAGCATTAATTTTTATCGTATTAAGTACCTTAAATACATTGTCCATTTAATATAGATCAATATGGCCCTACAGCATGTAATTTATATATATATATATATATATATATATATATATATATACATATATATATATATATATATATACTAGCGACCCGCTCCGACTACGCACGGGTCGTAAGTATATATTACTCACGAGCCGGTTCTAATCGATAATCGATATCTATCTATTATTGGGCCAATAAATATTGTAACTACATGTATAGATATAAGGCATTATAGTATAATCATTAATCATTCTTTTATCATTATAATTGTATTCACTAATATTTTTATTTCCTGCTACAGTTCTCCTTTACGTATAAAAAATACGGGCATTGGTGTCCCAGTGGAAGATATGGAATTCACCCAGAATCGTCTCAAAGGTCTAGTAGCCGCGTTTGTATATGACAACCGTCAGAAATTCCCCAACATAAAAGCGGAGGAGGCGATAATGCTACGTTTAACTTGGGACAACGGAGACGCTGAAAAGTGTAAATTGTACTTGTCCGCCGTCGCCGGCGCTGAGCATTTCGACGAGCAGTTCTCGTATTGGCCCCTCATGTGCGCATTAAGGAAATTGCAGCTTAAGAAGATAGACGAAAAGTCCGTTATGAAAATTGCTAAGAAAAAAAATAAAAATGGCGTCCGCTTGGCGCATATCCTGCGGCAGAATTATGACGAAGTTAGACGTATGTGGAAATATTTTCCGGACGCCGAGGATTTCGATACGTCTATCGGTCTTACTGTAATGTCGCCGGAATTGGTCAACATCTTTCTGAAAGTTTGAATTCCGATTGTCTACTTTGTGGTTATTGACGATATGATTGGCAAAATGTGATATACTTTTGCATATTAACAGTAATACATATGGCCTCTTTAATCTTTAGTATAACGGTCATATATTTTATTGTATTTTTTGTCTCTTTTTATTATTGTTTAATTAATAAAAGAGTATTGCACTTGACCCATTAAAGCTTATTTTTATTAAACGTTGCATATTATTTACAATCAGATAAAATATAATTATAAATAAAAATATAAAATCAACAAGTTTTCTGTCTGATCTGAGAGTTGAACTTGAAGAACGATCACTGAGGAAGGAAAGTTCTCGTAAGTTAGCTTTCACACTAGTATCTATGTTTTGAAGTTTAATATCTGTTAATCGATTATCGTTGCTGACTGTACTAGTAAGCGCAGTATATACAATACTGGGCTTACTGTATATCCGCTGAGTGACAAGCATAACTGTATTGCAAGCAGTCAGTCAGTGAACGCAGCCCCATCAGGACCGTTCCTTGTGACAATTTATTTATTTATTTTACACTTTATTGCAACATTTATAAAATAGTAAATACATTTAACTGTAATAAAAAATGATACAATTTATGGAGATCCATGTCCAGTGAGATTTTTCAATGACTTGGTTAAATAAATCAAGCTTTTGTTCCAAAAATAAAATCAACTGCTACGATTGCGACAAAATTAGTATTGATACAACAACCCTAACTCTGGCAAAAAAAATTATCAAAATGGTTCAGAATTGAGAATATATTACAAAACACACAAGAAGTAAATAATAATTTGAAACCACAACAAAAAACAGGATTTCAAACGTGGCAAAACCAGTTATTTCGGTTTCTAAACTATTAAGCTGATTTTGATAAAGAAAATATACAAGACCAATCTAACAGCACATCCTTTCAAATAAAAAAAATAAGAATTTTCCAAATCGGTTTGTAAATGACAGAGCTACGATGTAGAAAACCAAAAAACCGAATTTACCTTATTGGAAGTCGATCGAAAATACAGGCAAATCGAAATACTCTGTATTTTTTTATGAATTTACGTGAATTTACTGGGTACAGAGGAATAACACCTGAGTCCTCAGGAATGGCAACGTATGAGGGGTATCATGGGCGAAACAGTATACTCTGTTATGTCCATGGTTCTGTTCATGTCTATAGGCGACGGTTACCACTTTTCATCAGGTGAGTCGTCAGCTTGTTTGCCATTCTAAGTTGTTGTATATTCTAAGTCTTAAAAAAAAAATTACAGTTGAATGAAACAACATTTATTTTAAAGCATTTTTATTGATTTCAAAAATAACTAGGTTCATTTAATCACGCAGTAGTACTAAATCAAAATATACTATGATAAAATACACACAATACGACAGCAAACTGCTCGTGACGATCAAATTTATACATATATATGATATCATTTGTATTTCAATTCAGTTCTAACATCTTATTCTGTAGTAGTTATTACCCATCTAACTAATATAATACCAGTTTAAAAGGTATCCATTCAATTTCTAATAAATCTACTTACTTGCTAATTTGTTTTAACATTGATATATGTGAGTTAAATGAAATCAATGACTGCCCTGACACGATTACATGTAAATCTTTCACAAAACAAAGTATAAAAATGGCTATAATGTTAACCAGAATGTATTTATACAAAAGGACTAGAGGTACTGGATAACGCACTAAAACAAATATGTATATATCACTCTCAGCCCCGTATATCTTTAGTAACAGTATGGTATAGATCGTTTACATTTGCTATCGATATTCTGAACTCTATGGTACATACAAATAAAGTACTTAAATTTACCACCACGTTTCATTTTAGAACAATGCAGTAGATGTTCAAATGCAACAAAGACAGCCCTATTAGGATGGAAATATTTAATTAATGTGTTTGACGACTTAATTTGGTATTTAAAACATATAGAAATAAATACCAAACTAGTTAATATCATTATTGTACAGCTTTGTGACATTGCAAATGCTTTACACTTTTAGTACCTTTCAACTTTTTTTTATACCACTGAGGTGGCAAACAAGCATACGGCCCACCTGATGGTAAGCGGTCACCGTAGCCAATGAACGCCTGCAATACCAGAGGTATTACGCGCGCGTTGCCGACCCTGAAGAAACCTCTTTACCCCCTTTTGAAGAACCCCATGCTGTAGTCTCTTGGGAAAATCTCGGTAAGGAGCTCATTCCATGACCTGAGTGTTCGTGGGAGAAAGCATCTCTGAAACCGCGTTGTATGCGACCATTTCAACTGAGTATAATGGTATTATTTATTAACTTTTACCCGTGACTTCGTCCGCGTAACTGGGATAAAAGTAGCCTATGTCCTTCATCCTATATTGTTTACACCAAACTTTAGTGATTGGTTAAGGCGCTTTAATAAAACAAACAAACGCACTTCCACATTTATAACATTAGTAATGATTGGACAGCAATGTACTACTTCAGAAGCATATGCTCAGGTTCGAACTTTGAGGATTCAAAATTGAATGTACACTCATCTCGAATAAAAGTGAGTTTGTAAAATAACCAATAACTTGACTCTTGTTGACATGACAGATCTTTCAAGAGCTATAAAAACTATATGTGTTTGCTAAATTAAAATTGACTATTACAGATAAACTTTACTTACTTTTTAGAGGCGTAAGCCTATATATACACGTCTATATATTACGTCTGAATGTTCTAAAGTGTACACAAGTCATTATAAAATTTACATTACGCAACATATACTATCTCTTTTTCCATTTTTTTTAATTTTGTAACAACTTATGGAAATGCAACGGTAGGTAAAATGCGAAACAAAAATTACTGTCTGAATGCTTTTCCAATATAATAACCTTAGATTATCGATTGAATGGTTGCATCTAAAATAACATTAGTTAACGTAAACTTTAATATTAATAAAATGGCAACACCAACACAACCAAGACCATTCTCGAAGCTACAATTATTCCATTCAGGCCCTTACGCAATATCAATAAAAAATTACAATAAAATACCAATGAACTTAAAAAGTGAGGATGATTCTAAAAAATTTAAAATAGCTCTAAAAAAATATTTAATTACAAAAAAATATTATACACTACAGGAATTTTTCAATGAGAAAATTTAATTGTATTTGTACCTATTGGTTTCAATGTAATAATGTTTTATTTATTTTATGTTAATCGACGATACATATATATAATGTAAAAATTTTGTTATGTACTTTATGCAATATTTATTAATGTGCTTGCTGCGCCCTTCCAGGGTTCATGTTGACTCTTTACTTTTAATAACTTAAGACCTATATTGTTACAACATGAAATATCAATAAATAATTGAATTGAATTGAATAGTTTTATATACTGCCATATATAAAACAATTGAATTGCGGTCTTTGAATGTTCATATCTTGTAAAAGCGATACCTCTAGATGCAACCACTTGAATCTGTGTTACCAACTTTATTCATGCCCTGATTTTCCTTGTAAATATTAATGTATGTTTTAACAGATTATTTATGGGGTGATATTAAATTATATTACGGACGTATAGTTGTTAACATTAATCAATAAAACTCACTATTCGTATTATCGTTGAAATTAAGTGGCCGATTACCATCAATTCCTGCATACATTATTAGCGCATATTTTGAGCAATATTTTAAAACATGTTTACATATTATATTTTACATATTTGTGATCATGAGGTAAAATCATTTATTAATCATATTATTTTTATTATTAATTTAACATTGTGTATTTTTAACTGTACATTTTTATAGCCTATAATATTCACATCAGTTTTATAAGAATACAGCATGAAAATATTTATAATTTATACACCAATATAGAATTTCGATTAGATAATATTTATGTACATATTGGGAAACTCTATAAATCAATGACTCAATTAAATACTTCGTTTAAATAATTTGTCTGTTACAAATCAATATATATAGCAAGTATATTTTCGATATAATAAGTTAACTCGAAATAAATTGTAGACATTATAAAAATTAATTCCCGCTTTATTCATGAATGTTTTAAAACAATTTAACTAAATAAAATCATTGATTTATTACTAAATTTATCGACAGTTAAAAAACAATAATATACACGAAACAAAAAATCATGAATTTATTTATAATCGATTATCGTAATAAAGTAAAAAGTAGCCTCAAAAATTCGCATTTAAATTACATCATTCCAAATCTACTCCATTCTGAATTTATATGTAGCATACATATAAATTCTTACTTCTCAAAATCTAATTAGCGTCAAACGACGCCAGTCATACAATATTTACTTGATGTGTTCATGATGATATCATTTCTAAGAAATGCCAAACTCCAAATTGTTGTTATCTGTTTATATCAGAATTACATTCAAATAAAAACCTTCAATCACAATTGGCATGTAATTATATTCTAAATATCGTTTGGTGTTACGCAAAAACTTATTAAAATCAGTCGACGAACTATAACTCATCTTGTAGTAAACGATACCCTAGACTGTTGACACTAGATGGCGACACCTCCACACGAGTAATAGTAATAGTTTATAATACTAGTTCCCATATGAGCACAGCTTCTCGTAATATGGCATTTAAGCGCTTTATAAAATGGACTTGTAAATGGATGGATAGCAATCAGAGGTCTACATAACGTGTTGGCTTTTACACGGTGAAATAGACCTTATTTTTATATGGACAGAGTTTAGAATCTATTGCTTATTTAGTAACGATACTTTGTCCATAAGACGGAGTCGGTTCGCAGTGGTATCCATCACGATGTCTCCCTTTCAAGAACTATCACTGATTATATATTTCAATACTCGTTTCCATCAGTCTATTTTTTAGAGACTAATAAACAGGCTCAATTGAAATGGGTCACTATATGGTCCAGAATAGCCTATATCAGGAAAATTGATATTCTTTTTTAATACCACTGAAGTGGCAAACAAGCATTCTGTCCATCTGATGATAAACGAATCCCGAAGTTTATGATTGCAAACACCAGGGTCATTACGCGCGCGTTGCCTACCCTGAAGAAACCTCTTTACCCCTTTTTTTAAAAACCCCATTCTATAGATTGTTGGAAAAACTTCGACAGGAAGTTCATTTCATAACCTGAGTGCTCGTGGGAGGAAACATCTTTGAAACAGCGCTGTACGCGACCATCCAGGCTCTAAGGTATGAGAATGAAGTTTCTGTCGGTGGAGAACTGTACGATGATATAAAGTATACGTCATAGAAAAGAGAGATATTCCGAACGTTACTGTAGCTGGAGTTCAGAACTATATAAAATTATCGGTTTAAGTGACTTTTCAGACAATAGAAATATCCTAACACGAAAGTAGTTACGTATTACAATAATTGAAGCTTGCTCTCTATATGGGTTCTACTGGTATATGACCCAAGAAAGTTACAACATATGTGGGTAAAAAGGGAAACATTTTCAAAATTATCATTGCCTATATGCATACACGAACAGGCTTTGTCTGAGGAAGCGAGAACTTATTCAGATTTACCATGACAGGAGTTCCACCTCTACGTAGTTACGGACTCAATTTGGCCTATGTCCATAATTCACTCGTCTAATATTTGTAGTTACATTTTTGGACTCTAGTGGCCTAGGACTGTGCCCTCAACTCGCTCGCTAAATATTTGTAAGTTAACTATAATTTTGGACTATGATTGTTCACTGGCCTCTGTGCGGTCCGAGTGGCCTATGTCCGGAAAAGTGGCAACACGTCCGGGAGAATAGAAACCGTGGTTACCGTGGGGGCTCAGTGCGTGATGACGGTCGCGTGGAGGCAGTGCGGCAGCACGTGGCGGTAGGGCAGGCGGTAGTTCTTGACCGTGCGCGCGGCGAGGCACTTGAGCGTGGTGTAGCGCAGCGGGTTGACGAGCGCGGCCAGGCTCTGGTGCGAGGCGCGCAGCAGCACCTCGGGCGTGTGCCCGTCGTAGTTCACCGTGTCCACGTGCGCGCCGTGCTGCAGCAGGGCGGTCACCACCTCGGCCGGGCACGGCTTCAGCTACACACAACAAACCACGCCGATCAGTAAACGGATGCCAAATTCTTCATTTTACTTGGTTCTTAGAGAAAGAATAGTAATGTGTCTTGCTACAATAACACTGATGATCTGTAAGCTGGATACATATATCCAGTCAGATTTCTGGTATCGTGTCGTCTAATTAATTAGATTGATTTAAATAATTAAGTATTTTTAGTTAGGTTAGTCTTAATAATCACAGTTTTCGATTTCAAGATTTTTGTAGAAATAAAAGTATGTTTTTAAATCTTTTGTTTTTTCAATAGGACAATTTTAATTTTTATCTTTTTTACACATTTTAAAATAGAATTAATAGAGAAAAGTATTAACAACACTACGCCCATGATAACCCCCATGCGTTGCTATTCCTGAGGACTCAGGTGTTATTCCTCTGTACCCTGTAAATTCACGCCATATCCCACCCTTCAAATCAAAACTCAGCCATACAAACACATTTGCTTCGCGGTAGAAACACAAATGGAACAGAGGAATATTTTATGAATAGTTGATTAAACTGGAGGGATGTGAGGTGTACCTTGCAGACGAGATGCAGCGGCGTGTTGCCCTCGGCGTCGCGAGCGTCAGGCGAGGCGCCGAGCCGCAGCATGAGCGCCACGAGCGCGCCGCAGCACGGCGCCGCCTCGCCCGCGCCGCCCGCGCCGCCCGCGCCGCCCGCCGCGCCGCCCGCCGCGCCGCCCGCCTCACCCGCGCCGCCCGCGCCGCCCGCCGGCAGCGCCTGCAGCCACACGCCGCCGCCGCCGCGCGCCGCCGCCGAGCACGCCACGTGCAGCGCCGACCGGCCCTGCCGCACCTGCCGCGCAAACGCACATCATGTCACAACCCTTCTGCTACATCCACATAAAAGTCATGTGGCAACCCTACTACATTTATGTAAAAGTATATAACAACCCTACTACATTCTCGTAAGGGTCATGTGGCAACCCTACTACATTCCCTTAAAGGTCATGTGATATCCCTACTGTATTGCCGTAAAGGTCATGTGACAACCCTAATGCATTCCTGTAAAGGTCTCGTGACATCCCTACTACATTCCCGTGAAGGTCATGGGACAACCCTCCTACATTCCCGTAAAGTCATGGTGACAACCCAACTACATTCCAGTAAGTCATATGACAACCCTACTGCATTCCCGTAAAGGTCATGTGACAACCCTACTACATTCCCGTAAAGGTCATGTGACAACCCTCCTACATTCCCGTGAAAGTCATGTGACAACCCTACTACATTCCCGTAAAGGTCATGTGATACCCCTACTACATTCACGTAAAGACCATGTTGGCAACCCTACTACATTCCCGCAAAGGCCATATGGCAACCCTACTGCATTCCCGTAAAGGTCATGTGATATCCCTACTATATCCCTGTAAAAGTGTAATGTAACAACCCTAATAGACTGCCATAAAAGTGTAAACCTTAATACGCCCTTTTTGAGAAACACCATGCTGTAGTCTCTAGAAAGATCATTCCACAACCTGGTGTTCGCGGGAGAAAACTCTTCTGAAACGTCATTGTGCGTGATATAGATTACATTATACTCATCATCATTTCAGTCATTATTCATCCACTGCTGGACATAAGCCCCATCATACTCATAAACTTGTTAATTTTAATCTTTCGCATTGTTTACACATATTTTAAATACACAATCGGGACTTAACGGGATGAAAAAAGCCTTTGCAGGTTAATAGTACCTACATACCTACTTTTTTTATTGTCGACGTTTCGACATGGATTGCACCGCGTCGTGGTCACAAAGTCCCAATTGTATATTTAAAATACCCATAAATTTGCTTTTAAATAAACCTGTTTACTCTAAAAAATTTCTTCAAAACACACTCACCTTAATATCTAACTTAACAAGTGAGTACACAGCCTTGTGGATCCTACGGGACACCTCCTCGGTACACTCTGGCTCGGAGAGCAATCTGGCCATCACGGTTGCTAGGTGGAGTGATATCACTAGCACCCTCTGTAGGGTTGTCAACGTCTGTTCCCTGTCGATACTGAGTTTCGAACATTCTAGTAGTTCCATGCCCCTGTCGATCTCTGATAACGCTTTAGTGAATACTGGCTCTACATCGTCGATCGTCACTGGTGGGACTATCCGACCTGCAAAATTAAAACATAATTAAAATTTGATTATAAAATTTTTTTAAGCATTTTTCACACATCGAATTATACTAATTTGCTCTCTAGGTACAGCAAATAGAGGTCAATGTACTGCTAGTAAATTGACCTCTTATCATTATATCAGCAGTTATCTGTCCACTACTGAACATAAGCCTCCTTAGAAGAAGGGTTTTGCTAGTAGTTGCTACACTTGGCAGGCGAGTTGGCAGCCGCAGTAAGGCTTTGGTGATGTTTAAAGAGGGACGCTACTGCTTGTCTCTCGACCATTAAGTTCCCGTAGTTGTCCCTTACGACATCCACGAATAAGAAGGAGTAGCCCATTCTATGCCAAGACCGCATGGTGTAGATGGAACATAGAATAGATTGGATAAAAGGACAATGAAAATATGGGAGTGAAATTACAGGATACAGAGGCATAACATCATCCTTAGTAGTGGCAACGCATAAGAAGTACCCCAGCCATAATAGTAATCTGTGACATGCACAGTGCAGTTCATGTATATTGTTTTTTTTTTTCTATACAACTTAGAATGGTAAACAAGCTGACGGCCCACCTGATGGAAAGTGGTAACCGTCGCCTATAGACATGAGCAGTACCATGGACATAACAGAGTATACTGTTTCGCCCATGATACCCCCCATGCGTTGCCATTCCTGAGGACTCAGGTGTTATTTCTCCGTACCCAGTAAATTCACGCCATATCCCACCCTTCAAACCGAAACACAGCCATGCAAACACAACTGCTTCACGGTAGAAACACGAATGGGACAGAGGTACCCAAGCAATCGACTTTTGTACAAAATATCCCTCTAGTTGCCATTTTTCATGAGGTTCAAGTACATATGACGATTGGAGGCGAGCATACCCCTAAGCGGTGGACGCGCGCGCTCGGCGAGCATGTAGGAGAATAGCTCGGCGAAGCTGTAGAGCGAGGACTGCGTGAGCGGCGACAGCGGCGGCAGCACGGCGCGCTGCATGTCGAGCGCGTGGTGCCACAGCTGGCGGCAGCGCGCGAAGCGGCCCGCGTCCGCGTACACGGCGCCGCGGTACCGCACGTAGTACGACGTGTCCGGGTGCGCCGGCCCTGCAGCACACCACACACGTCACAAACACCGGACGATACTTTATATAGTGTCCCACAAACAAAACCGACTTTAATTATGGCAATAACAGCTTTTGGGGGGAAAGGGATTGTTAGTAATGGGATCTAACAGTTCCATTGCTAGCAATGTAGGGTACATTATATAAACATTAAATAAACTCGCATATTACTTCTCGCCTTTAGGGATACGTATAGGTTACTAGCAATCCGTCCCCGATTTGCACAGATTGACGAGTAAATAAATAATCTTATATATAAAATTCTCGTGTCACGGTGTTTGTTACCAAACTCCTCCGAAACGGCTTTACCGATTTTTATGAAATTTTGTGTGCATATTGGGTAGGCCTGAGAATCGGCCAACATCTATTTTTAATACCCCTCAATGATAAGGACGACCCACCCCTAAAAAATTTATTTTTTTGTCAATTTTTTTTATTTTTATTTTAATATGATTTAGCATTGAAAAATACATACAACTTTAAATTTTCATCGTTTTACGAAAAACCCCTGTATTTTAATCGTTATTTTTATATTTCGCAATAAGTAGTAAAACAACGTTTACTGGGTCAGCTAGTATTAAATAAAATACAGCCCATATTACTGATATTGATAATGAAGTTGAGTAGGGGGAAAGGAATTGTTAGTAATGGGATTTAAACAGTTCCATTACCAACAATATACCCTATCAGGTCGACCTCCACGCGGTTCTCCCTGGAAACCATCGTGGTTAATTCTCACGGAATTATACACATAATTACGCCACCTCTGGTACACAGACAGTCAATGATATTTATGAGAAAAGAAGATAACGAAACCTCTGTCTGTGGTACTCTGTAACTATGGTTATATTTTTAGACAATTGTTTTTGTTATATAACACATCCCACCTGGGGGGAAGGGATTGTTAATAATGGGGAGGTTAATCCTCATTGCTATCAATATAGGCTATATATCAGGTCGACCTTCACGCGGTTCCCCCTGGCAGTTATCGTGACTAAATTATCGTTAAATTCGTCACGCTGGGCTAACTGACCTACCTTTTTATCCTTACCTATAACTTCTCATTGATACCCCGCCAGTGTATACCTATAGCGCAGGTGAGGTTACCATGTCATTTTCACCCATTAAAAAAAAAAACACCTTTTACCTTCATACGCTATTTATCATCTAAATGACTTGTCATGATTAACATCTGTCAAGATTATATCCACATTAAATGATCTACACCTATTTTGTTTTAATATCAGATAAGCTTCAGCGTCAGCTCGTATGCCATTCTAAATCATGTACAAAAACCTGCCTGCAATGCAACCCACCGAGTATCCTCTCCCTGATGACGAGCGCCTGCATCCTCATCGCGTCAGGGTCCGCGAGGATCTCCTCCAGCTGTTGCACGTCGCTCGGCTCCACCGCGAAGTCGTACGCCTCTATACGCGGCACGTCCTTCGGCTTGGGGATTGGCTCGCTGCCGTCGGCAGGGAATCTGTAACATTACGATATAATAATTAAGAAATCTGTTTAAAAACTGAGGACATCAGGACAGGAGTTACGGTTGAGACTAGTAGAGTTATTGTCAAGACAAATCATACGAGCCCAAATACGACGAAATTATTATGTGTAGTTCACGAATTTTTATGGCCACTTTCCGTCTTCATCACCAGACGAGCTCGATTGTACCATAAAATGCCAAATATCAGCACAATTGGACATCAGCAAGTGACAAATTAAAATTGCGCTGGCAATGGTCTTTGTCACTCAAGATATTATATGGATTGTAACAACACCCTACACATAGAAATCTTACAGGAATTTAGAAATTATGGTAGAATAAAGCAACTCACATATTGAACCTAGAAAAATTTACACTTCTTTTTTAGCAGTGGTAAAAAAATCATGAACATACCAGCCTTAATCAGTACACAGCTGAACATAAGCATACCCCATAGATTGGAATAAGAAACAATTCCGAGCCACCTGCATCCACCCACTCTTTGCAATGTATTTAAAGTCATCACTTCATCTAATGGTTGGACGTCCTACATCTTGGTTTGCCTTTACAGAATCGTTAGGCAAGAACCTTTCTTCACATCGATTGTCAATTCCTAACCATGTGACCAGTCCATCACCAGGTTAGCTTACTTATCTTTTGGACTATGTAGGTCACACACTATAACAAAACTCCGAGCATAATCTCTCTATAGCTCGCTCAGTAACTTGAAACTTTTAGATACAGGTAACAGGTACAGGTAACGTAGTTTCGACTAACCTGTCATCCATCGCCCGCTTCCACAGCGCAAGTGCGCCGACCATGTCTCGCCGCTTGTCGACGTACGTCGCGCCGAGCAGCTCCAACGCATCGATACGCTGCTGCCTCGTAACTAATCCATATTCTACGCTAATTAAATGCTCCACTATGTGTGTATGGCCTGTGACTGATGCGGCTAGGAGAGGGGTCATACCTGCAATACAGAAAAAATATACTATATTTATTCTTTATTTATTTATTGCAATTATATTACAGGTGGAATAATAATTATAACAATAGTTTATTGCCCCCAAAAATAAGAAAAAAGAAAATGAAAAAAAAAAATAGTTAATTCAAAATCTTGAAAAAGTCATATGGGATCAACCGCTACACACTATCGATTGAAAATAGAATGATCAAAATCGGTACAGAATTGGTGGAGATATTGTATGAAGTATAAATAAAACGAATGATGACAATGACATATATATCATGAAATTGAGAATCCTTAAGAAATATAAAGTTCCTAGAAACACTTTAATTCTTATCCTCTCATTCATAAAAACAAACATCTCATAAACCTATTTCAGCCATTGAACTGTTTTGTCTATTTTTCTTTTGCGCTTAATTCTCTGTTTAAATAAAAATGACAAAACAGTGTATTAAGTAGTTGACAGAAGGTTTTAGTTTTTAAGAATAAGGATGATATATATCTGAATAGTAACACTAAAAAAGGGTTAAATGTAAACTTTCTTATAAAACAACTAACTAATATTGTATGTGTATTTTATAAGATCTCAGAATTAGTGAAAAAGAGTAAATGAAGCGTCTAAATATACAACATTCATACCTATTTTAAATTATTTTAAAACTTGCCAAGTTCAAATACATCAAGTGTACTCGAATTGTCTAGCAGGCTAGCATAATCTAGGAAGTGTTCGTGATCTATTAATTTCAACAGTTTGCTTATACATCCGAACTAATTTGCAAAAATTTATTTCTTAATTTGACTGCAGATTGAACACGAAACATTAATCAAACTCAAACAGCATGCCTACACCATAGAGATTGGCACTTTTCAATGCATACCATTATGTACTAATTGTAAAACAAATCTTCTAATATTAGAACTGGCAACATTTATGCCTCTTACGATTTATACTCATGTCCTAATTCGTCACGATGAACCAACTGACCTGAGGCCTACCATGAAATGTTTTCCGAAATTTCGGAGCCGAACGAAACACAAATTTGATTTTAAAATTACATAATACTTACCGTTTAAAAACATTAAAAATATTAAAATATTATTCCTTTGGACTTTTATGGTAGGTTTTATGACGAACTAAATGTTAAGCTCCATTTAGGTATGAACGAAGACACGAAATTAAGTCCGAAACTTCGGAATTTCATTTCATGGTAGGCCGCCTGATTTCATCGCCACCTATCCTCCTCACTGGTATTTCAGTATTCTTTTTATAAACGGCGTTTACACCAGCCCGTCAAATCCAAATACTTCCATGCATGTACTCACATATTTAGAAAAAACAAACTTATATACTGACCATAAGAATCAACATCCATTGTAGCGCCGTGGCCCAACAGCATCTTGAGTATATGTAGAGACCCGCTCTCGGCACAGTCGTGTAACGCTGTGTTGCCTTTGACACTTTTCCTATTAACATCTGCGTTCAGCGATAGTAGGTATTTGGCAATTCTTATGTGACCTTTATAACACGCGATCATTAAGCACGTGTGTCCGTGACGGTTGGCTATTTCTATGTCTGGAATTGAAAGAAATTATTTTGATGTTAAATCAAAATTCATACTATTTATAGGTTTTTTTTTATGGGTGAAAATGGCATGGCAACCCCGCCTGCGCTAACGGGATACGCTGGCGTAGCACCAGTGAAGGGTGATTGAAGAGAATGAAAACAGGCTAGTTAGCCCATCATGATGAATTCATCAGGAATTAACCATGATAGTTTCCAGGGGGAACCGCGAGGAGGTCTACCTGGTTGGGTATATTGCTAACAATGGGATTCTCAGTCTCCATTACTAACAATCCCTTTCCCCCCACTATTTATAGGTTAGAATAATACTGTTATATACATATAATAAAAATAAAACAGGCCACCCCTTCCTTTCCCGTGGGTGCTGTAAGAGGCGACTAAGGGAGGGCGAGGGATGGGCAGCAGCGTCCCTTTTAAAACATCTCTAAAGTCTAACTGCGGTTGCCAATCCGTCTGCTAAGCGTGGCAATTACTGGCAAAATCCTCCTAGAAGGAAGCTTAGGTTCAATAGTGGACAGTCAAAAGCTAATATGATGTAGATGATGATATGATAAAAATAAATAATTCTATTTTAAATGTATAAAGGTTAAAGTTTGTATAAAAGCCATCTGCATTTTATGGGTAACATTGTCCCATTGGCTTTTCTGTCGCTAACCAGTTGTGTTTGCATACCAGTGCTTCGGAAGTGTGGTCGGAAATTGGGCAATATATTCGTACGTTGTCTGAACTAATATTTTTTATATAAAACAATGTGTGCAGAGAGCGACCTTGTACAAAAGTGGTTTGCTTGGGTACCTCTGTTTCATTCGTGTTTCTACCGTGAAGCAGTTGTGTTTGAATGGCTGTGTTTCGGTTTGAAGAGTAGGATATGACGTGAATTTACAGGGTACAGAGGAATAACACCTGAGTCCTCAGGAATTTGCAACGCATGGGGGGTATCATGGGCGTAACAATAAATATAGTCTGTTATGTCCATGGTACTGCTCATGTCTATAGGCGACGGTTACCACTTTCCATCAGGAAGGTCATCAGCTTGTTTGCCATTCTAAGTTGTATAAAAAAAAAGCTATTCAAGAAAGTATTGACTAGCTTTATTTTTACTCGTATAACTTGGATACTTTGATTTGAACAAGGATATTGATTGCTAATCCAATTTATCTCTTCAGTCGTACACTCCTGACAGAATGGTCGTGGTTTTCACAATGATAGTGGATCGTCGATGAGGCCCTCCTTCGCGATTGAGGTCCTTGCAATATGTCTCCATCTGCTTCTGTTCGCCGCCGAGCGAGAGCATTCCACAACAGACTACTGTGTGGCCGTTTTGATGAGGTCAGTCTATCACGTTGGTGATCTACCCCGAGAACGTTTGCCTTGTATCCATTTTATACGAGTATAAAAATAACTCAAAACCATTGACAAAGTGGCAACAGTCGCCTATAGACACGAACAACACCGACGATTTCAATTCCACTATGACGCCTATGCTCATAGTTTTTACATCATGTGAATTCACTGCTAGAGACTAAGGTGTTGTCACTGTACCCTATAATTTCACTGTCACATCAAACCCTACTATTCAAATCGAAACACAGCAATGGGCAATGTTTCATTCAGCAATTTTGCCGTTTCGGGCAAAAATAATATTTGCTCGACTTGCCCCACTCAGATAGCCCCTATAATAGTGAGATAGCCTAATTAAAACGAAGCTCGAGTAACTCACCGGCGCCATTTTCGACTAGGAACTTAACAATATCGTAGTGTCCATCGAAGCATGCCGCTCTGAGCGGTGTGCTGTGCGTGCGGGTGGTCGAGTTAACGTTGGCGCCTGCGCGGACCAGCAGCTTGACCAGGGGCAGGTGGCCCGCGGCGGCTGCGCACCACAGCGGAGGCGCGCCCTCTATCGTCTCGCCGTCGAATGTCACTGTAATAGATAAAAATAACCAAATTAGGAGATGCTGCTAGTAATCGTATAATCTTTATTGCAATTGAAAAAAAATACAGCGGAGAAAAAGATCATGCTGATAAGCCTTATCTTTTCTCTAGCAAATTTAACATTTTGATAACAGTTTATAATTAAAATTTTACCAGAGGAAGACTGTATAAAAATCGTTGGATACCTCTAACTCGTGTTTCTGTGGCTAAGAAACTGTGCTTTCATGGTTGTGTTTATTTTAAACGATGGAATACAGCAATGAAATATCAAGGTACGAAAACTAACTTCTTACTCCTCGAAATTGGCAACGCATAAGGATTAAAGGAAAGGGATTGTTAGTAATGAAGTCTAGTTCCCTCATTGCTAGCAATACACCCTATCAGGTCGACCTCCTCGCGGTCCGACCTGGAAACTATTATGTTTCATTCCAGATGAGTTCATCACGATGGGCTCACTGACCTAACTTTTTATCCTCATTAATCATCTCTCATTGGTATTCCGCTAGCGTATACCGTTAACGCAAACGCGGTAGCCATTCCACTATCACCCATAAAAAAACACACGAGGGTTGTTTGGATATTACAGAAACACAGAAACAATACACGGCTACAGAAGACGAATATCACTTGATGATAATCCACCTGAAGGAAAGTGGCAACTAGAATATTTAGTTTTAACATTAAATTATTTATATATAACGTATGTAAAAATAATTATTAAATTTCAAAACTTTTTTTGAATAGACCGGTGTTTATCTTTTTTTTTTATTTAACTCCAGCAACATCGGAGGAACTGCTGGTGTGCTGCTAGTCTTTTAAAAACAAACAAAAACTCTTTTCTTGAAGGCTACGATGTCGTATCAGTACGGAAATACCGCTGCTGGCTGGATTGGATTTGGAGTGGATTCCAAAGCGCTGTTTTGCGAATTTCGAAATGATAATTAAATATGATATATAAATATTCATACACCGTATAGATCAGCATGTTTTTCATTGCGTTTACAACATAAACATACAAGGTATTGTGTTTATGTTACGTCACGTCTACAGTGAAAATAACTCGTCTCAACAATTAGTGGTACATACTCGTTTTGTAACATGAATGAATACAGTTCACAGCGATGAGTTCATGGGTATTTTTTTCTCATGTAAATGTCTAAATTGTGTAATAGGACTATGAATTGTCAATTTGTATCCTTCAAAGTTTGACAGACATTTCAGAGGCTTTATTATTATTAAGACATCTAAGATTGATTACTTACAAAAGAAATAAATTTAAAAACTTTTTTCGTATTGTCTTCTTCGAGCGTTATATCTGATGTACTGGGTTAGGAGGCACGGCAGCGCTCCCGCAAATCCGAACACAGCCGTACCACCTTTTCCTAGATCATTTATTGTCTCAAATGGCATATGTCAATGATGGAAATTTCCCTTTATACTCGTATTAGCCATGTATACTTGTTATATTCACTTTATGACCGTCCTAAAATTTACGCTGAGAATTTAGGATCCTTGAAATTAAAATTAATAATTTAATATTTAGTAAAAATTAAGAAATGTTTGCACGAAAAAAAAAATGCATCTGCGCAGACCAAAAAAGATCATGTTATTTATGTATTTGAAACGGTAACAAAATACAATGGTATTTTTGTTTAATTGATAGTGAGAAAGAGAGAGAAACAGGGGATCTTGCATAACATGAAATTCCGAATATTCGGACTCAATTTCGTGTTTTTGTTTATACCGAAATCGAGCAAGTAAATGGAGCTTAATATTTTGTTCGTCAAATCCTACCGTAAAAGTCTAAAGGAACAATACATTAACATTTTTAATATTTTTAAACGTTATGTATTATGTAATGTTAATATCAAATGCACGTTTCATTCGGCCCTAAAATTTCGGAAAACATTTCATGGTAGGCTCACAGAATCGTATTGAATGATTCTTTTTGTATGGTGGTTAGTATGACACTAACTTCATGACGATTAAAATTGCCGTATTTTAATGCAACAAAATCTTGTACCCAAAAATAAGAAATCAAACAATATTGAACATTTTTTTTATACAACTTAGAATGGCAAACAAGCTGACGGTCCACCTGATGGAAAGTGGTAACCGTCGCCTATAGACATGAACAGTACCATGGACATAACAGAGTATACTGTTTCGCCCATGATACCCCCTATGCGTTGCCATTCCTAAGACTCAGGTGTTATTCCTCTGTACCCAGTAAATTCACGCCATATCCCACTCTTCAAACCGAAACACAGCCATGCAAACACAACTGCTTCACGGTTGAATCACTAATGGAACAGAGGTACCCAAGCAATCGACTTTTGTACAAAGTCTCCCTCTACCTCTGGTAATAAGAAATCAAAAAATATTTAACATAACGAGTATATCTGTATGGGCGGGCACGATTGCAACGTTTTATCGACTAAACGACTCTATTCCCAAACTGACAGTAGAGTTGGGAAAATATAATTTTCTTTAGCGAGGTGTGACATTGATTTATTGAGGTGCGTTGTGGCTCCACGCCAAACTATTGACGCAACGGGAAAGCAATTACTAGTCTTTTTTTCACAACGACTTCCAAAAGAAGGTGATTCTCAATTTGCCTGATTTTTGTTTTCTCATATTGGTGGCATCTACTGTAATACAGTACAGTAAAGTCATAAGAATAAATATCCAATCTCTACTCTTTTGGTACTGTTATATAATCGTAGTAAAAAATCATTATCATCACAACAGCCGTTAACTGTCCACTGCTGAACATAGGACTCCCACCCCATAAGGGGACTTTTACTAGTAGTTGGCACGCTTGGCAGGCGGGTTAACCGCAGTTAAGTTCTGGTGATTGTAAAAATAATTACATTGATAGTTGATAGATTGATTTGCTATTGATTGGACAAATGGTCCAATCAATAGCAAATCAATAGCTATATTTATTACTAGTAGTTAAGAAGTAGGAAAACTAATAAAATACTAATAACTTCTAGATGGCGTATCTAGATAAAACACACACCCACTTTTTAAGCTAAACTTTTAGAAATGTATGTGTGAACACTAACATTAAATTTCGTGCAGTAGTTTTTGCGTGATGCCGAAACAAACATAGAGACACGACATTTATAAAAATTACACTTTTGGTAGATATACCAAAAGTATAATTATAAATACTAATAGATATTAGTCTTATTAAGACTATCTTCCGCGTACAGACATCGTCCAGTTACAATTGTATTATATTATTAAAGAATACAACAAAACAAGGAAAATCCTCATTATGTCCTACTTAACTGACTTGCTCAACCAAACAATTGGAAATAATTATTGTTATGCTAATAGGTACACGATATATTATATATATAAACATGAGACTGTATATCTACTCGTATCTGTATATATAGTAAAACTGTGAACAAACCATCTTTGTACAAGCATCACACAAAAAATACTGGATGGATTTTGATGAAATTTAACGTAGTGGATAATCTTAGTATCAATTCCGCGTCCACCACCAAGATAGGTTAAAATATAACTTATTTTTATTTTCAACCGTTAACTATTCATTATAATATAAGAACCTTCCCCATAAGGGGAGTTTTGCCAGTAGTTGCCACGCTTGGCAGGCGGGTTACCGCAATTAAGCTTTGGATATGTTTTAAGAGGAACGCTGTTGCCCATCTCTCACTCTTCCTTAGTCGTTTCTTACGGCCCATTCTATGCCGGGACCACACGGCGAATTCAAATAACATATTCAGCAAAAAACAAATGTTTGCTTTACAGAAGCCTGTTGGTTTTTGCATGGAATCCTTTAATTCTTAAATTAACAGGAATACACTTGGCCAACAGCAAAACATCGGTAAGCAAATATTTGTCTTGAAGCTTGAATCTTTCTTTCTTCATATTATGAAACCCCGTAATTATAATTTATTTTACAAATAATTTCTTTTTTTATTTCCACTAATTAACACTAAAGAGGCTGATGTAACGTTCCTTTGTAAAAATTGAGAGCAAATTACCATTTTCATAGAAAATCGTTTCAAGACAATATTTTTCTAAATCTATTTTTTTAATAACCTTATTATTTGGATGTAGACATATCTATAATTGATACAAATATTAGTTTAAGTTTTTTAATGTACTTTATCTGAGTTCTGTATAACGTATTTATTTTTATTGTAAATATGACTAGAACTTAGTATAAAAATCCCGTGTAACCGCTACCGTGTATCCCGTGTACTGTAAAACCGGTTAACCAATTTCAATAAAATGTTGTAAATAGTATTGTATTCCAACTGAGAAATACGATAACTTTCCCTATAAGAAAAAATGGTCCGGTAGGTGGCAGTAAAGGGCAAGAAAACGTTTACCAAATCATTAAAAAAAAAAAACAAATTAAAAAATAAAACAATACAAACCGGAGCCGGGCTGCTCGATGTCGGCTTTACACCTCTCGATCAGGTACTCGGCGACGTCGTAGTGGCCATTCCGGCAGGCGATCACCAGCGGGGTCGTGCCGCCCACCTTCGCACCCACCAACATGTTCAGCTCGTCTGCGGAGCGCCAACTGTGTAGGTACACCTGCGGACAAACACACACGTTTATTAATATATAAGAAAAAGTAATTGAGATTTTTAATGTTATTAGTGACCTGGGGAGGTCGAATTGATTGGGCATATTGCTAAAAGTAACTATAATACCTCATTGCTTATAATCCAACTAAACCAAAGAAATTAAAGTTGTTTAACTATATTCTAACCATAGTTTTTGACCATGACCTTACATCGAGATAACGGGATTATTAGATACAGGGACTTTTTTTTGGTTTGCGGTACAGTATTTAAGGCATCCCGTCCTCGCTATTGGATACGGATGACGGAATGCCTATACAAGAGCGTACATGTTGGGCGCAGTTTAGACGCAATATTTGAGGAGCTTTAGGAAGATACAGGGACTAGGACGCCACTGTTAACAATATACGTGTAATATATTGTTAACAATGGGGTTCTAGTCCTCAAACCTGCCGTGTGATTCCGGCATAGAATGGGCCACCCTTTCTTTCGCGTGGGTGTCGCAAGAGGCGACTAAGGAAAGGCGAGGGATGGGCAGCAGCATCTCTCTTACCAAAGCCTAACTGCGGATGCCAACTCGCCTGCCAATCGTGGAAACTATTGGTAAAACATCTCTTATCGAGTGAGACCTATGTCCAGCAGCGAGCATTTAATGTTTGAAATAATAATAATATATTCAAAAGAAAATAAAGATTTTCCAAAAGATTCTATCAAAGTCTGTAATATTTATATAATTTGAGAGGTCGTCGCGTCGAAGTTTCGCAAACCCATGTGGCAGTGTGAAATCGCAAAAATATACAAAATTCATTTGAATTTGTACAATGACTTTGTATATTGCTAAATCTATGAGAACAAATAAAGATTTTTCCATAAAAAAAAACTTGTAACATTAATAAAACTATGTAGTATGTATACATGATATGATTTTATTTCCTTTTTTTATGCAACTTAGAATGGCAAGTAAGCTAACGGCCCACCTGATGGAAAGTGGTAACCGTCGCCTATAGACATGAGCAGTACCATGGACAAAACAGAGATACTGTTTCGCCCATGATACCTCTCATATTTTGCCATTCCTGAGGACTCAGGTGCCCAAGCAAACGACTTTTGATTAGTTGAATCGTTATGGAAACAAGTAAACTTACTTTCATCTCTTACTAATATAATAAAAATGTAACCAGACAATGCCTGTACATGGGAGATATTAAAAAAAATAATAATACAAGGGGTCTTAATAAGAGCAATAGAAGTCGAAACAATACTTTTTGGAAATTTTGTCTGTCTGTACGAAATCTACAGGATGCAGCTAGTATACATAAAAGTTGTTCGTAAGTACAGCAGCGATTGAAAAAAATGCTCTCAGAATGCTTTACCAATTTTCATTAATGTATTACAAGAAGGGACGCCAACTCCGTGGATGCTCGGGAGAGCTCCAGCACACACGAGAGGTAAATACTGGATGCGGAGTATCCATGACACTAGACCTCATAATATAACTAAAATAATACTCATCTCATTATCAGTTGTTTAGGTCGCGTTTGCTTGTCCAGCAAGCAGTGTAAGACGTACATTGCTTGCTGAGCTAAAATAATTATACACCTAGACATCAAAAGAGCATGAGTACCCACGAGTTTTTTCAGAAGCCCCTAATTACAATAAAGACAAACACTTGAGAAATACATTAATGATTTATATGTTTAGTGTAAATCCACGTAAAAAAATAGTATTAATTCACTTAGTATAAACCGACTTAAAAACTCGACACCACAGTTGGCATCAACGTTATTATGACCTAATGCTCGTTGTACAATGTTGGCATAAGAAATTCAATATGTACGTACGGCAAACAGAAGATCCTGCAATTGTGGAATGTGGTTTAACACATTTTATGAGAACAATAATATGGGACTACATATGTGAGATCCGCTGGATTCATAGAACTAAAAAAAAAACTGAAAAATGTACGTACACCCGAATGCAAAAATATGAAATAACTTATATGATAATAATAAGCCTTGCAATAAGCAACTAATTCCGCGTTGGCCAGACAACAAATCAATCATTAGCAATGACAGGACAATGCGCCAATTGTCATTAGCTTTCACCAGACGCCCTCAATAAAAACGCTTTACATAACATATAGACAATTATATAAAATCTACACTTAAAGCCTACACAATTGACGGACATTTTGTCCTCGGGCAAAATCTATGTAAATCGTGTATAAGCACAAAACATTGTAATATAATATTGTATCAGCCATTAACTGTCCACAGCTGAACAAATCTTCCTTCAAGGTGGGTTTTGCTAGTAGTTGCCATGCTTGGCAGGTGGATTGGCAACCGCAGTTTGGCTTTTGGTGATGTTTTAAGAGGGACGCTGCGTTCCATCTCTCCACCATAAACTCACTTAGACGCCTCTACGAAAGGAAGGGGTGGCCTATTCTATGCCGGGACCTACACGGCTAAACAATATAAATTTAGATATTTTATTATGACCGGGCTATAATTTAAACACAAAACTGCCACTCGTCGTTTTTAAAAAAGTTAGAAATAGAAGACAAGCATAGTTTTTTTTCTTACGACAGAGGACAAACAAGCATGCGACTCGTCTGATAGGTAATCTCGCCTAAACGTCAATTCTTAATAATTCAGGTAAATTATCACAGTTTACCTTAATGATCGCTTTAATTACCATCTCTTAAACAGTATAAAACATGTAGTATAAAGTCTAAAAGTTAATACTGAAGTGATACCGTGTCTGTTTACGCCATTAGGTTAAAAAAATATATTTGGTTTACACTCGTCAATACATAACGTCCGTAAAATGTGTCATCCTACCAGAGCCAAGCAATCGGCGTTATAAAATAGTCCTCATTATAAAAAACAACATTAAAAATAAACAGGATAAAATATTTTTAAGCGCTAAAACGTACCTAATACAGATCTCTGACCTATTTTCTTCATAATAACAACTTCTGTGCTACAGACGAAGATATCATACACAAGCTATTTATTTCTAGGTTCAGAAATACTCGTAAATGTGACCGTGAGAGAAAATTTTCTAAGAAAAAACATGTTTATAAAAACAAACAAATATGCTCACAACGGGATTATACTAATGGAGTAGGTCGGAGGCATTCACCGACTGTTGCCGTTATGGTGAACATAAAATTCGAGACGCCCACATTTGAGCGAGCCTACTCGAATTTTTTTTTTAATGGATGATAATGGAATGATGACCCCGCCTGTGCTATCGGTATACACTAGCGGGGCACCAGTGAGAGATGATTGGTGAAGATGAATAAGCAGGTCAGTTAGCCCATCGTGACGAATTCATCGATAAATTAGTTACGATGGTTGCCAGGGGGAACCACGTGGAGGTCGACCTGGTACAGTATATTGATAGCAATGAGGACTAACCTCCCCATTACTAACAATCCCTTCCCCCCAGCCTACTCGTATTAGAATCCAAATGTAGCAGGATACGAGTCTAATACTATGACTCTGATTAAATTGATTTGTTGAGTACGTAAATCTAAATAATCTGAAACTAAATTAAATTCATAATTAACTGGCTGTGTGGTCCCGGCATAGAGTGGGCCACTCCTTCCTTTCCCGTACATATCATAAGTGGCGACTAAGGGGACTTAACTGTCGAGGAATGGGTAGCAGCGTCCCTTTTAAAACATCACTAAAAGCCAAACTGCAATTGCCAACTACAGGCAAATGTTTTTTTTTTTATACAACTTAGAATGACAAACAAGCAGACGGCCCATCTGATGGAAAGTGGTAACCGTCGCCTATAGACATGAGCAGCACCATGGACATAACAGAGTATACTATTTCGCCCATGATACCCCCATGCGTTGCCATTCCTGAGGACTCAGGTGTTATTCCTCTGTACCCAGTAAATTCACGCCATATCCCACCCTTCAAACCGAAACACAGCCATGCAAACACAACTGCTTCACGGTTGAAACACGAATGGGGCAGAGGTACCCAAGCAATCGACTTTTGTACAAAGTCTCCCTCTGGATGAATCTAATGGAAAGTAGCATAAGGAACAAAGCCGTTCTTTATGACAATCTATAGAGAGGCCTATATACAGCAGTGGACCGATACCAGCTGATACGATGATGACGATATGAAATATACTTGTATATATAATTTTTAACTGTCTGTATACCTTACATAAGTTTTGTATACCGTAAAGACTAAAAAGGTCAAACAAAATTATATTGTTAACATTTGTATTTATTCATACACGTGCTTCGCAAATAAAGTCTTGAATATTAAGTTTTTTTTTTCATCATTGTGAAACACAAACTTTTATTTATAAAAAAAAACTTTCTATAAAACTATTTAAACTGTTACAGCGTTTTATTACGTTCTTTCAAACTTAGAACTTTGTACTAAAGAATAAGGACAAATAAGAAGAATTCAGTTCAATAATTAAAGCTAATTAAATAGATTTATGAGAAGTTTGACGTTTTTATGAATAATATTGCTGCAGTTTTCAACAGTATTTGTTTGTTTAAATTTGTTTAATTTTGTTTGTTTATATTTGTTTAATTTTGTTTGTTTATATTTGTTTAATTTTGTTTAATTTAGTATTGTCTAATTTTGTGTTTCGTTTACTTGTATTTTATTTTGTGCAAATTCTAGTGGCTACCAAATTACTATTTAAGTATATAATTAAGTATTATTTTAGCTGTTTATTTGCCTTAAATAAATAAAATAAAAATAAAAAATAAGAGGGAATGTCGGTACTGACTGACCAGATTCGAAATAACGACCTACGCGGATCTATATGACGTGGTAATATACCGCTGGGATACGGATACGATGCTCTCCAAAAGCTACCAACTGTTGAATAATAAATAACGACCGTGAATCATGAAACTTATATTACTAGTCGGGCAACTCCGGAGTTAGGCTGTGAATAAAGGATTGATATTTTATATATAAATATATATAAGGTTATAATTCCCTCATTTTTGGGGGGAAGGGATTGCCAGTAATGTGGACTACCAGTCCCACTGTATGCGATGCCCTGTCAGGTCGACCTCCACGCGGTCCCCCCTGTAAATCACCGTGCTGGATTCTAGGTGTATTCATCACGACGATCTAACGAAGCTGCCTTTTCATTCTCACGTATCATCGCTCACTGGTACCCGGTCAGCACATACCGTTAGCGCAGGCGGGGTTACCCATTGTATTATCATGCATTAAAAACTCATTTTTTTTTATTATATATTTTTTATTATTATAAATATTTCTGATTATTAATTTTAATAAACAGACGTATTATCAACACATGTAGACCTGTTAATAACAAATCCGGTATAGAACCTCAGTTTGGCAAGCGCCGCGTCCGTCGGGATGGCGCAATTGCAAATCATTGCAACCAAAACGCATAGCTTACACACCTACGCTTTGGTGATACAATGGTGAATTAAGATTTATTACTCCTTTCAACCGACTTTAAAAAAGGTTCTTAATTAAAATGTATTGTTTTTATATTTTTTCTCCTCGCAACTCTGTCAATTATAAACCGATTTGGAAAATTCTTTATCTGAAAGACTATGTTAACAGATTGGTTTCATAGAAATTTTATTAAAATAAAAAAAAAATTGTTTTCAAATCAAAATAACTGTATGCCACAATTGAAGTAATTTTTATTTTATAGAATATAATTTTATTATCAAATTATATATATATATATATAAAGAAAAACAATACTGGAATATCATAAATATTCTAAATTACTTACAAGACGGTCTGTCTGATGGTAAGCAGTTACTGTAGGTGGTAGAATAGGTATTATTTTGACAACAAATTATCTTGATCTTATTCGTGCTTATGCTGACACTGGTTATCCTTACTAATATTAAAAACTAGCGATTCGACCCGACTTCGCACGAGAAGACAGAATTTTTGAAAGTCAATACATACAATAAACAAAGTTTTCAGACAACTCGACTGATCGGTTATTTTATAGCATTTTAAAAGTGATTCTTTAGATTGATATAACTTTGTTTATTTATGAACCGATTGAAATATAAAAAAAAAAACACTAAATATTAAGTGAAGTAAATCGCAACGCATTAGTGACAACCGCATTCAAATCGGTTAAGCCATTTCCTTGAATTCATTCATAAATCAAATTCTTAATAAAATAAATGAGAACGTACCAATAAAAAAATGCGAAACTCGTTCTTGTTATAAAAAAAAATTAATAGCCGTCCCTCTCCGACAAAATGTAAAGTGACAATAAGTTCCGATGAGTTATTTTACGAATTAAATAGGTTAGTACTTGAAACAATGAACTATATTGAAGAAGAGTCGTTTCACAATATATTATTGTACTATGTATATAGTGGATCGAATTAATTCAGTACTGTACTCGTATGTGCAATTCGTGACCGGTGTCATTAAGAATAGATTCAACGTTTTAAATTTAAAAAAAAGACAATGAATATATTAGCAAACAATTGCCTGAAACAAAAAATAATGATCCAATACAATTCTATATTAGCACTATTTAACTATTGTATTTATGTAGTAGGTATTTTAGTGTTTTTTTTAATGGGTGATGATGGAATAGTAACCTCGTCTGCGCTATCGGAATACGCTGGCGGGGCACCAGTGAGTGTTGATAGGTGAGAATGAAAAGACAAGTCAGTTAGCAGTGTTGAATACACTTGGAATTCAGCACGATGGTTTCCAGTGGGGACCATGTGGAGGTCGACCTGTTTGGGTATATTGCTAGCAATGGGATCCTTAGTCTCCATTATTAATAATCCCTCCCCCCAAGGTATTTTAGTGTTGGTAGATTGGCCGTGTTGTTCCGGCATAGAATAAGGTCACCTCTTCCTTTCTCGTGGGTGTTGTAAGAGGCGACTAAGTGAGGGCGAGGTATGGGCAGCAGCGTCCCCCTTAAAGTATCTCTAAAGTCTAACTGCGGTTGCCAATTCGTCTGCTAAGCGTGGCAACTACTGACAAAACCCCCAAAGGAGAAGGCTTATGTTTAGCGACGGTTACCACTTTCCATCAGGTGAGCCGTCAGTCGTCACGATGGGCTAACTGACCTATTTCATCCTCATCTATCATTCTTCACTGGTGCCCCGCCGGTGTATTCCGATAGCGCGGGTGGGGTTACTATTCCATTATCATCCATTAAAAAAAAAACCTGACTGCGTTTGCCAACCCGCCCGCATGTGGCAACTACTGGCATTAACTAGGATATAACCCACCTATGTAGCAAATTTCATTGAAATCCGTTATATAGTATTATTTTTATATAGTATAACAAATTTCATTGTGATTAAGCTACGGTTTAGGTGGTAAGAGTTAACAAACAAACTCACTTTCACATCATATTAGTAACGATAAATCGAAATAATGACCTTTCATCAAAAAGTTAGAACATAAATAATGAATTATAATACTGTTTTTAAACAGTGAAATAAAAGATCCAGCTCGTTGATTTGCTATTAAACGTTTGTTTCTATTAGCACACTCAACGATTCTAATTTCGGCGAACGAAATCGTAGGTGTGTCTTGAAAGCCATAAAATATCTATAAATAAATAATCCTTGTATAAATGTGAAAGTTTGTAACGATACTTAAATAACAAAAAATAAATCAATAAAATCGGGTACACAAATAGACTATATTCTAAATAAAAACAAGATAAACTGTATCTAATACACGCGGACCAAGTCGCGGTATATAATACATAATATGTAGTTCTAAATAAATTCCGAATACATCATATCACAACGCCACCTAATCCTATACTAAGCAGTGCTTGTGCTATAGGTCCAAAAACAATTTGGACTGAATTCAGTCCAAATTCTAGATTTAGCGATAGATAAATAAAAAAATAATAATTAATCAGACAGAGCATACAAGTGATTATACGTTAATGAACTAAAAGCATTATTTGACAATCGATATTTTTTATGCAATGAGAATGTCAAATAAGCTGACAGTTCACAGGAAAGTTGTATTCGACACCAAGGAGATAACAAAATACACAATGTCGCCCATAGTGAGTATAAAGGCATGTGTCACTATTCCTAAGAACTAAAGTGGTATATTCGCGTACCTCGTAATTACACAATCATATGGCACCCTTCAAAGCAAAAACGACTGCTGGACGCCAGAAACACAAAAGCAGACAAAAGTACCTCTGTACCTGATTGTAGACTCCGATGATTACCATAGTGGCATATATTTCTCATTGTCTCTTCTCCAACAAGCATCAACTGTACGAATCAAATCTGGTTCATTTACCTTTTTAATACGCCTCAGGATCCTTCGTTGACGTCGCAGCAGAGTTTTGCCGCAGTGCCTCAGGGTTTCTATCCATCGGCACCGAACCGGCACCAAATCCCACACACCGGCCGACATTTTTACTTAACACATCACTATTTTACTCAAGATACATCATCGCTTTGAACACACTTCACTTGCACTAAAAGATTTAATAAATGCAACGACGACTGTTAGACACTGCAGCAATTAAAGTATTTTATAATGAATAAAGTATAATGTTCGTGATTAGGTTCAACTAACGCACGTTAAACATGTATGATGTGTTATAAATGAACTGACATTCTGCCAATTATATCTAGTTTATTATTAATTGAATGGTGGTTCAGTAATGCGCTCATTGACGTCTACCATAAATAAGGGGAACCCAGTATTGTGGTTGATTACGTAATGCGTAAATATTATACAAGAAATAATGTTATGCCTATTTCTAGATCATGGTTAATTAATAGTCAACGCTTTGCATAGGCAACTTCCTTTACTCGTATATGAATAATAATGATGAAACAGCAAAATCGACTTAGATTTATTTCGTCATGTAACAGGCACGTGTTTGCAAATAATAAAATATGGAACATGTGATATTTGCGTTCATCCCTTTTTAACCTTAAAGTACTCCAACACGGTATCTCACGAAATGTTAAAGTCTGTTATTTAGCATAACAAAACTCAAGGTTTGCCAAATAGTAGAATACAAAAAAGGTGTAAAAAGTACCAAGAAAATAACAACAAGATACTATATTCCTGAACAGGAAGGATAGATGATAGGCGCGTAGGAACCTCGGACGACGCTGATATAGAGATTACGATGTTTTCAAAACGACATGGCAAACTTTGGTGTAAGATAGTGTTTCTTACATGGTGCGATAAACGTTGTTTTTGCTCAACAGTAAAACAGTTGACAGACTATTTAAAAATAGAGCATAGAAAAAGAGAGCGTTGTGGCTACTTACGAGTATATACCACCCCGAATCATACATTCCCCACATTTGTTTCGAACCGAACCATACGAAAAAAACCTCGCGTATCAATTTAAATCTCCGAATTACTTTCACGACGGCAATAAGTACTGTTAACAAATGTACCGAAAAGTGCTGAGCATACTTTTTCCTTAAATATTATTTACTTTGTTCTGAGATTTCTTGAATAAAGTAGGTAATCAAATAGTTTAATGTAAGCGGTTAACGTGTAAACACTGACAGGTTTGTTGTTTACATGCTAATCCGTATAAATGCAGTTTTTAACGGTTTAAGAGGAAAGCCAAGGTATCACTTTGTTTCGAAAGTCCTCAGAATCACCTCGTACAAAATAACCTCGACGAGAATGACGAGTCAGCGGAAAAGATAAATCATCGGAAATACTGGGATTACGTGTTAATTCGAAGTATTATAAATTTTAGTGGTGCTGTAGTAATCAGGAGAAACCCAGTAGACACGTATTTATGGCATTAAATGAGTCCAAGGGGCCAAAAGTCTCTTACATCTTACTTTCTTTTTGCATCTTAGATTTGTGATTGACCAATGAAGAATTATTTTGAAGCAGACATTAATATATACTCACATAATATATATACTTAACAAACACAAGCTGATTAATAAACGAGAACACTGCACAGACACTAGACGTTACTTCAATTGAATAGGGGCGATGCGAAGTCAATTGGTATCATCTCACGTTCTCTAAAGAGAGCAAGCACGTGTACAATGTATGAGACCAATACTGTACGTGTGTCATGATAATATTACTCATTACAATAGTTCGCGGTCTTTCATATTAAAAAGGCTTTTAAATCGCCACCACCAAGTATGACACACTCCCCATAAGTGAAAATTTGAACTGGTATCTAATATAGGATTTAAATTCTTTCTTTGGTGCTGGTGCTGTGGGAATTATTCCTTCAGCTGGTTCTTATGAGATACTTGAGAAATAGAGATGAACGAAAAATCTTTTGGACATGCCTAATCTCTGTTTTCTCAGCTATATAGTCAGATAGACATCCATGTAGTCCAGAATTTTTTTTAACGATGAGACGACAGACCTTCTTTTATCCTCATATATCACAGCATAGAGCAGGGGCTGCTATGCATTTTCAACCTGTAAAAAATGTACCTCCTGGAGACGACAAGGAGTGATATCATACTATATTCTTATTCTGTCGTCACACGACTACCACGTAAGCATTCGCCAGTATTTAAGAGATTCTATTATTATTTTATTTCGTAAAGATTCTTATCTATTATTATATCTATATTTCTTTTTGCTGGAGGTCAGTTTTTTTTTTTTTAATTCTTAAGAGCATATCAACCCTATCATATTTTAAACTAATTTCTACCAGTAAACTTCAAAATATTAATTTGTTGTTGAAATAAAAAACAATCAATCATTCGACGGCATTTGTACCAAAACAAAAACATTTAAATCATGACGGCTAGTTAGTTAGACTCTGTCTATTGTATTATATTGTTGTATATATAATTTGCATATACTTAATTGGTATCAATAGAAAGTAGATATCTATACATCAGATTAAATTTAGGACCAACGAATATTAGAAAGCCAGTTATTTCGTTCGCTACTTGTATTTTAATCTTTTTATATTGGTTTCTTTATAACAGTGTCGAAACTATTAAGATAGCAATGCAAATATGTATATTATAATAAGTATGTTTAAAGTTGGACAAGACTGGTGTCACACATATATCATTACCTACTGTTAAGTTTGAACTAGTTTACCGAATAATATGTAATTACAGGTATATTCCAGTTTCTCTGTAGAATAAAAGTAGTCAATGAATAGAAAAGATTTTAGGGGAAATATTTAAAGTCGAATGAAGTGATATGAACTATACCTACATGTATATTCCATTACCTAAGAACAACAAAATAAAAACGACACAACAGATATGGTCAACTAATGATACTGGTATAATTAGGTAAAATAAAATAAAAAAATTATGTCATTATGTTTTGTAATTTAATAAATACAGTATTTAAAAAAAATACATCTAGTCTGAGAATTGCTCCAACGAATTTCACAGCGTTGTATGATATAATAGTTTCACAACATAATGTTGAACAACAAACAAGGTTTTTTCCAAATCGCCTGCCGAACTGATTTTAATAATGTGACTTATATAACCATATAAATATTTAAAAAAAAGGTTTTATTTTATCTATTGTTTTTTAGTCTAAGATTAGAGAACTATTTCAGCTTTCAGGTCCATCCCATTCCAGTCCTAAATATGTTCTACACTTTTTGTTTAATTACATATTTATAGTAACAATAGAGAGATAATGGATCCGTACAAAACAAACGTCTCTATAAAGAGATCAAAGTAATATTTAATTTATTATTTCATAAAAAATCTTTAAATGTCAAAACTTCGTTTAATAAAGAAAATTCCTACTAATCAAATGTTTTTAAAAAAAATTGGATGTTACTAAATCATAATAAATATAAGATTTGAATAAAATTTTACATACAAATGAATTATATTTTTCTTTTTAAATTACATTTACATTATTACTAAAGAACAATACTTTTATTATAATACAAAACATCAATAAATAAACGTTATAGGTTATAAATTCTCGTTAAAATAAAAAATAAGAAACAATCATTTTATAAACAGAAAAACTTGACCTATGCCCGGTCGTTGAACTATAACTGGAAAAAAATTCCGAACAACGGAAATGTCAATGGTAATTGCTATTCAATTAACGAGAAACTTTTAGCATGCCAACGTTCAGGCAGGTTGAAGGAAGGTTAAACTTTGTCATCTCTCCAGCCTGACGAAAAGAGGAGAAAGAATAGAAGCCATTTTAAAATTTCAAGAGTGAAAACGAACTTTTTTTTATTGTTCCTCCCAACAATAAATACCGATTACAAAAAAAAAAATACATAAAATATCAGAATTACAAGAAGCAAAAGTAGCAACAATGGACGGCCTTGTCAATAAATAAACAGCGATCTCTTCCAGGTAACCTTGGGATGGAGAGGAATAATTAAACTTGCTGATCAGAACTGATCAAGAATATTAAAAAAAAAAAAAGTTTATTTAAAATTATGAACAGTTTTTAATTACAATTTTATTACGAGACGACATAAAAGTTTCACAATACCAGGAAGACAGTAACAGTGTCGTTAATTTGATGAAGAGGTTTTTTTTTTTTTAATTAAACCAACCTACAGAATCATTCGTAGGAAGTTTCATTATGATTTTATTTATAGTACCGTCGTCGCATAATTAAAAGCGTGGAGATGGAAAAACACCTCATCGGATGGAAAGCTAAAGACCTCATTTCCAGTTAATTACGATCTCACAATCAGGGTCAAACGATTCTCTATTATATTTGAACGACAGAAAGATCTTATTAGCTTATTAGGAACTGTAACCACAGTTTGTTTTAATCGATATACTATAATTACCGTGATTGTAGGAGTTTTATAATAAATCTGTAAATACATTATTTACTAGATTTTCCTCTTGAGTTCGTCTGTGGTATATCTGTGCTACTACATTACATCAAAATCTGTTCAGTCGTAAAGAAGTTATTCTGTATTAGATAGATAGATACTCTTTATTGTTTCCTCCAAAAGATTAAAATAGTAAACTTATTATAAATATAAAATACTAAAGCTCAATAAATATCTGACATACATTTATAAGTAATATCAGAAGAATTACTCGTGTTGCTTCGGAAACAATGCTCCGAAAAACAATAAAATTTATTTCATCGAGATAAAATTAATACAGGAGCAACACAGACATATTGCAAATGAGTCTTTGAACATAACCTACACTGATGAGTCATGAATTGCGATATATCAATCTAGGCCTCTCCTCTTTTCCCATACATGTATAGTATTTCATAGCATATATTTATTTCTCCTTTCATTCAACACTTTCTCTCCACAGGCCTGAACCAGAGAAGCATGTCCTTCCTCATATTTCCATGTATGTATTAACCGTTAACTGCCCACTGTTGAACATAGCCTCGCCCATAAGGGGGGGGGGGGGGGGGTTTTGCCAGTAGTTCCTACGCTTGGCAGGTGAGTTGACAACCGCAGTTTGGGTTTTGGTGATGTTTTAATAGGAACGCTGCTGTCCATCCCTTGACTATAAACTCCCTTAGTGACCTCTTACAACACGTACGGGAAAGGAAGATGTGGCCTTTTCTATACAATACTATAATCTGGTTTACTATAATTAATACAATTAATAAAAAATATTGTAATGCCATTTTAATTAGTAAGAATTGCGTATGTCTGTTCTTTTACATTTATTAATGGCTATATTAAATAATGATGACTTAATGATGATATAACGATAAATGAATGAAAATAATGATGAATAAACCAATTAATGAATGCGGAGGAAGCGAAAGAAGTCAGTTTAAACCAATTGGCGTTCAATTATTTGTATGTACGTAAATTTCAATATAGAAACAAGCTAAGAGTGTCGACTAAATATGCCAAGTATAAAAAAAAAAACTAAAGATTATAAAGAAGTATGAATTATTAGTTGTAAAAAGTAATAATACATTCGACAAGACATGTAAACGTTAACATCGTACAACTAAACAACAAAACCTTCAGAGAACAGATAATAAAACAGAATTCACAATTATGCAAACGAATAGAAAATACCGAGACGTCAACAAGGCGTAAACAAAACGTAACGTGACAAACGTTACATTCACGATAACGCAGCGCTAGTCGAACTTGCTTTCTAATCCACTTACATCTTTTGTAACAACTGTATACAAAACTGTTACACAATTCGCGGTAACTGCGGTTTAAAAATAGCCGCGCACAGCGGTCCAGCCGTGGTAAAGGCGAGTGCAACACTGGCCGCGTTGCAGCGACAATCCAATTGCCTCTTTCACTGGTTACACAAGAAAGGGTTGCATAATTAACTCTTGCCTTTCCAACTAGCCGTGTAGCAACTCGCCTTTCAATTGATTCGCTTTACATTATAAAGGCAATGTGTCTTGTAAAAATAATATAATATTAACGTTTATTACGCGTATGTGATTACAAAATCGTCTTATACCTTAACCATCGAGCCATCAGTTGTTTCTATGACGAAAGCGATGACGAATAAACCTCTTAACTGTCAGTGTTTCGTCTTTTTCCTTCATATTAGAAATTTAGCTTGAAAGAAAGAGACAAAACAACTAGTGAGTACAATCGTTAATAGAGTGAACTGTGTTGTAGTAGTATAAATTTATCCACAACAGGAAAGGCAAAAGAACTAAGCCATACAGCCTGATCTTCAATTGCTGGAAGTTAGGTGGATTGTGCGACTTAAACTCCTCCATAACGGACTTATTATTTTTGTTAAAGGTTGAACGAAACAGTACACATGTAATGCAATGAATCAATACAATATAAAAGGTGGGAATATTCTATTCCCGCATTACCAGTGTTGTCAATTGAATAATTTAAAAAAATTGTTGGCTAGTGTTGCCAACAATCAGTGATCGCGCCACAAGCACACAGAAAAACTGTTTAAAATCTGCGGATCTACCATGAAATGAAATTCCGAAATTTCGGACTCAATTTCGTGTTTTTGTTTATAACAAAATAAATGGAGTTGAACATTTCGTTCATCATAGATCCCATCATAAAAGTCCAACGGAAAAATATTTTAACATTTTTAATATTTCCAAACGGCATGTATTATCTAATTTTAACATCAAATTTCTGTTTCGTTTGACTACCAAATTTCGGAAAACATTTCATGATAGGCCCTCTGTTTACAAGCGATGGTGATCGAAATACCTCTGAACGCAAAGAAGAATAATCAAATGCGACTACTGCGAGCTAATAAGGATTTTTAAGTCTATACAGCGAATATGGCATTGTTAATTTGAAATTTATATGCCTAATTGTTGATATTTAGTGAATAAACATATTTTTATCTTTACTACTCTGCATTTATTTACCCCGCACGTAATAATATAGCATTATGTAATAATATCTGTAACATTTCCCCTTAATTTAAGGCAAGCCTTATGGAATTTACAATTTACACTCGCCTAAGGCACAAAATTTTTACACGAAACCAAAAAAGCCTCGCAGAAACGAAGACCATAGATATGTTAAAGAAAGTCTCTCTAGGCAATTTGGCTTTATTGTTATTCAATAAAAGGTCGTTGCAATCTACTCTAACGTCAGTTGTGTATTTGCAATATTTTTACAAAGGTGCCTAATATATTTCAAGACCATTAGAAAAATGTACAAGTAGTGGACTAACGTGTTGTGAGCTAATACAAAGGTACGCTATCATTCTCGTATATTTCATAGATGAAAATGGAATAAAAGAATAAAAGTTACAACACAGAATCAGAATTATTCACAGTAGAGTTACACTAGAAAAACAACATACAAAATTGTTCGCGAATGAAAAATGCTCCTAAAATATAAGTACCATCTTATTTTTATGCAAAATATTTAAACACTGCCATCTGAACAAATGCAAACATTACCAAAATACATATTATTATATGTACAACATATAAATTGCTTTCGATGTGCAATTTTAAAAATTAATAGTGATAATTTAACGTTCATTAAATGCATCCAATTACGTGATCAGGCTTTATTACATTATCTATCGTGTATCTACAACATCGTAGACATATGGGGCATTTTATTAAGTATTATTATTTTATGAATTAATAGCGATAATTTTATGTTCATCAAATGCATCCAATTACGTGATCAGGCTTTATTACATTATCTATTGTGCATCTACAACATCGTAGAGATATGGAACATTCTTATGCACTTTATTTATACGAATATTAACGGACAGATTAATATTTTTTTATAAAAGAAATTCATTATATGAGTATTATTTTACAGTTTACAGCCGTTTGTTAATTGTTAGCTCTTAGTAAAGTATTCATATCTGACTTAGCTCTTTCTCATCATCTAGTAGGATAACGATCTAATTAAGTAACTTTGAATGTAATTGTCTAACCAATATTTAGAATAAAAACTCTTGGGAATACGTAAATTAAGACGTTAATTAAATATTGTTATTAATAGTTATATTATTAACATAAAGATATAAAACGCCTAATAAATTAGAACACTTAAATAGCAAACTTAAATTTTGGCTATGCACAAACGACCAGGCGCAACTATGGCGCTCCGGTGAAACTATCAATAGGTATTAATCTTATCACACTTTCTTGTTTACGCTGATAAATAATTGATGTATATGGCTGTGATAATGAAGAAAGTTCTTATTGCACTGAAATAAAGTTGATAATTAAGGACTGGTTCCAAAGGAAAACAAACAAGTTGGAACATGGATCTAGGTCAGGACAACGTGGTAATCGTGTTAATATAACTTACATACAAGAAGGTTAAGTAAATCATTAAAATGCTTTAATTTGAAGATGTTATTCGACAGCTGTATTTAATAATGATTTTACAAATAAAAAAAAATACTTTAAGATACTATTGAAACCTTGATTCAATACATGATATCTCAAACTATAACAAATAGAAAAATTACTACAGATGAAGAGAAAAAAAAAACACTGCATCGTACAATCTTAATAATGAGATAACGGTAAAAGCAAAAGCAAGTTGTTGCAATTGTAGTACCAATTGGCTGAAGAATGATGAAGTCGATACAGTTTTTTTATATGAGGCTGTACAGCAAGATTAAGATAAAAATTAACCCCTATCAATGTAGAATATTATTATATTCTTACTGTATCCCAAAAGTGATTCAAATCCGTTCTGCAATTTAAGTGTGATTGAATAACAAATAAACAAAATTTACATTTTCAGATTTACAAAATTAGCGGCATTCCGAATTAATAGGTTCAAACAGTAAAAAGGACCAAAAATCTTTGAACCTACCATACTAAAACTACGTCCCACACACTACGTGACACATGTCTAGCATGCAAGATAGGAAGCTTATAATGGTTTCTTGTTTTTCGTCTTATTAAAGATACTTTAAGAAAAACGATCAGTTTCACTGATAAAGCAATCTCTTTAAATGCCGTTTGCCCAATGATTGCGATTTCGCCCAATAGAAGAAGTGGAAGATTAGATGCTTGTTGCAGATTTAATTCGAACAATATAGGTGTTTTTTATTGTTAAAAGTTTCGTAAGTACACGGTATATTTTAATATAATAATTAACGATTCACTTTACATGTAATTCGGTTAAGAAAGCTCGACTAGTTTTGGGTTAGTCAGGCTCGCGCTCGCATCACAGCTGCTCAAGACGAAGGTTTCCGGATGGTCCCGAAACTAGTCGAGCTTTCTAGACCAAATGACACGTAAGTTAAACCGGTAGTTATTATATTAAAATATAGGTCTTTATTTAGCAACGGATTATATTAAAAGTTGACATGTCGTCATAGTCGTAGAATACTGACAGATCTGATTAATATTACATATAAAGATCCGTCGGTATTCTACGACTATGACGATGTGTTCTTATTTCGCCCATTTCACAATGTATTAAATTACGAAGACAATACATTCGATCCAGATTTCGTCAGTCCATCGCACTATCTGCGCAATGACAATTAATAAGGCTTAAAAAGACTTAATATAAGTCGACCCGTAATAATGTACCAATGTGCCGGTAATGTATGTTGGTGTACTAGTTACGGATGGCCCGTATGAACCTAGCAATACATTGGGCAATCGAATTGCAACTGTCTGGTAGATTGGCGATGAAATAATTAATTTGTTTTGGAGACTGTCGACAGAAAGTTGTTCATATTGCATACATCACGCACGGCAAAGCCTACAGTGATATTATCTTCAAAAAGGCCGTTCTCGATTCAATTGTATGTATATTTATTTTTTTCATTACTTTACTATTAAAAATATTGCATGGCCCGAATAACACTTGGATCCAGCGATGGGCAATATTGGTAGCACTCCGATATTTAAATATTGGATTCCTCTGGACACTGATAGCGAAAAAAAGGTCATCGCCCACATCGATATCGCCCATACCAGTCAGATATGTACATATATTAATTAGATCGGGTGCTACATTTCATTATTATATATTAAATAAACGATATTTCATATATTCATTTAATAAGTACATTTTTTTTTATGTTTTAAGTGGTTACCGTAGCCTATGAACACCTGCAATACCAGAGGTATTACGCGTGCGTTGCCGACCCCGAATATTGTAAAATACAAATATTGTAACTATAATACATAGATCTTGCTATGATTTCACCCCATGCTACTTGGTACGATTGACATGCCCATTGTGGTTGTTATGTTATTAAATTGCCAAATAGATATTAAATAAAAAAAAAAAAATGTGATCAGTTTAGTGACATCTCAAAATCGGCCCAATTATGCAATAATTAGTAAGTCATCAAGATCAACGCCACCGCCGCCGTCCGAGAACCTCGAAAGTGTACAGCGGAAGCGTAATCTGGGCCACTGGGTAAAGAGAGCCCGCAAGTAGGCTATTGGAGATAGCCGACTGCCGCAATTGGCACTTATTGCTTTTAATCAATACAAGAAAAAAAAAACAACAAAATAAATAACTCACGAATGTCATTCATGTCGGAATGAGAGGCATTTGTGGACTAAAACTGTTGTGGTAAACATTGCTTCGGTGCTCTCGATATGCAGAATGGTACCAGCTCAGTCACCTAATGTTTAACTTCGGTCAGAAACCTGACTCGTGACCGTGGTCAAGAGTATAGAGTCAATAGTGCTCAAAGATCTTTCGTATGCCACCCTAAACATCAGAATTTTTTAATTCATGTTCAGATCATTTAAAAACTATTATCCCTTCGTCCTTCTTCTAAATGCACAATCGTAACGCC